AAAAGGGAAAAAAAAAAAAAAAAAAAAAAAAAAAAAAAAAAAACACATCATAGTAAAATTAATACCTTCTCCGCTTCGCATCGAAGCTAAAACAGTTCAACTAATAAAAGAAATACTATTTATTATTTCTTTTAGTGTAACAAAAATACATATTTTCATGATTCAAGATATCAAATTTGTTTAAATGTAAGTGGTAGTTCGCAAAATGTATTGAATGGGGAAGAAATGTGATAGACTTGACTAAAGTATCCCTAAGAACATATATTATTCTTAAAATATAATGAATATTTTCAATTGGGGTATATTTAATTTAAATATTTTCGTTTATTTTATTTTGTAACATGTATTCTATCTTATATTATAATTCAAATAACAAAAATTTATAAAATAAAAATAAAGAAATTTTAGGGATTTAGCTGTATATGGTGAGAACCTGATGTTGTGGTTCTATCGGGGCCGTATGGTTCGAGGGTTTAGAACGACAAAGACAAGTAGATATAAAAATTATAACGCAGTACCTCTAATTGAGGTGTAATAAACTTTTGTCTGGTTAGTTCCTTATATCATATCTAAGAGGTAACGAAACGGCAAAGCCAGTCCACGAAACCAGAGCCTAACTTATACAATAGAAATCACGCTAGGTTTTTTAAAAACATCTTTAAGGCAACGAAACGGCGGAGCCAGTTCACGCATATCATATAACGCGATTATGTATAATATTTTAACCAACTAGTCAAAATTAACACTTTAAGATATTAATTTAATAAATGATCTATTTCTTTGTCATCCTTTACTCAAACTTATTAACTCTAAATAATTAGGATAACATAAATTTACTTCTTTTTTTCTTGCAATTTGTTGTGAGATGATTCAATATGTATATATACACATATAAGTGTTCGATTCGTATTTCGTCACAAAAATAGAAAATTAAAACAAATTCTTTTGGTATGTACATAATTAAGACGCATAAAAAAATAGCCGACAACACCACCGGGTTGTGGCTAACAATTGTTTTCTTATTTGAATTCGGTGAAAGCGAACTCTCGTCACTTTCTCCCTAATCTGAAAGGATTTCAGTGTTTTTTATAGTAAAATGATAGTACTCCCAATCCAGGGATATTGTTGTCAGCGCTTTTAGTGATCTTTTTAATTTATTGTATTTAATTATAAATTACATGATTATTATATTGAGATAGCATATTTAACAATTGATAAATTGAGATATATATAAATAATAAGAAATTGTGTTGAACAGTGTACATGTTATGACAGATAAGTTATTTGTTTGTTTACAAGTAAAATAAAATACAGATTATAAATTTTTCATTGATAAATGTAAGATGCGTAATGCAAAGCATTGAGTATATTACGACACTTAGTACTTATTAAATATTTTAGAAACTTCAGTGTCGGAACGCTTTTAAATATATTTATGCACAAATTATTGTACTTTTCCATAATGTAAAAGTTTCGGTATAGTTTTCAATGGAATTTTGACTATAATTCCAATGTAATCAGTTTTGTTAGCCTATAGCAGCTATTTATTAATACTTAGATAGGCAGGTAGAACATGACGGTAAGGAATTTACACTTTATCACTTTCATCAATCCATCAACATGAAAATGACTTTGAAATAACGCATTAATCTATTAAATGATGCAATTCAGTTCAACACAAATATAAGGCAATTGATTAAATATATTTTGGTGATTAAAATTCTGTGGCTAAATTATATAACTAATAGTAATTTCATAAATTCTTTAAGTGAGAAAAACCCAAGTCAACAAATTTAAAAATGAATTTTTATTAATTAAAAGCATATAATAGATATTGTGTATTAGCTATTGGAACTACTTAACAAGGCCAAATATGAGGGTATAAATATATAATATTTTTTATTTTCACGTTTTTAAAAAAAAATTCAAATTTTTTATTTATTACTATTAAAGATAGAGCATTTCGGAATAAAGAGAAGTAATAATTTTGACAAAATAACACATTAAATAGACAAGTATAAATTTAATAAATCCTAAAATATAAGCTAAATGTATAAAAAATGTTATAAATTAATATTTTTTAAAAATAAATATTGTGTATGTTTTTTACCATAAAACTTCCATATATTTTCGCAACAATTTGCGTCATAAATATTGATGATAATTTAAATATAAAAATGTTTAAGAAAAAAATACGGTATAAATAATGATTAATTCATAATAATAGCCCTTATAACTTAAAACAAATATATAGTTATTTATTTTAATAAAATAAAAATTCTAAAACTTAAACTCATTTATTAAAACGTTACAATACAAAAAAACAAAACATTTGTCTTAAAAAATAAATAACAAAGTATGTTACGTATATTCATACAATTATTAATATCACAAAAAATAGTATTAGGTTTAAAAAACAGAATAATCAATCTTGTACTAACAACGAATTGAAGGATATTAAAAACATTGAATAATTACACATCTAGTTAAAAATAAATAATTTAAAAAAACAGTACTCTCGAGTTTCAGTATAAAAAATTATTGTCGTGGGATTAATATCACTATCATAAAAAATTGTTTTAATGTAAATTAAATGAAATAAACTTGTTTTTATAAAAAAAATTTTTTTATAATTTTACATATTTCATTATTTTTTAATGAATATTTTGCTATTGTTTAATGCATATTTTCATAATTTTTGGCACTTAAAACTCCGAATCTTGTTTATATGGTATGAGAAAAGAATTAACAAAGACTGAATAATTGATCAATCAAGAAAAAGACGAAAATGATGTATACCAAATAGGATTTTACTGGGATAATTATTATTTTAAGAAATATTCAGCAAAATTTTGTACATAAAAATTATATTTTTTTCAATTTCGTCGGTCATTCACGCATAAAAGATAAGGTTTATTGAACTTAACAAGTTTGTAATTTTTAATGTTTATTATGAGTAAAAAAAAAAAAGTTAGGGCAGTTTTGAGTAAAAAAAATTGAAAAAATGTCGAAAATTAACGATTTTTAAAATTGTAATATTTTTGGAGATATTCCCCATTTATGAGAAACGAGAGAAATTTTTTCATATTTTGAGGGTAATGTCTTCAACTAAATATTATTTGTGATCTTTTTCAACTTAACTTTTGAAAGTGTTGCGGAATATATGACACTTATATATATATATATATATATATATATATATATATATATGTTAAATTAAAGATAATGTAATATACTAATTATGTAATATTATTGAAAAAAAAAAATTTGGACTTTATTTTGTTTTTCACGGTGAAAATATTGCTACTTTTGTGTAAAGTTTAAAGTTATAATAAAGTAAATTTTGTTAATTCTTACTTTTTATCATTAGTTAAACCCTATCAAATATATCTAATAGCATTAGTGTATTATTTAATTTCTCACAAACAACTAATTAAAATGATTTTCAAATTAATTTTACACCGTGTCAATTTTTTAATAAGCGAAATGAATACTATTTATGTACATTTCAATGTATACAAAAATATTTTGTTAATCTTTTAGGTGAGTTCGTGGGTAAGCAAAAGTGGACATTAACTTAATAAAAAACCCAGCACAGGGGGGTCGCGGCACAGTGGTGACGTGGCATAGTTGGATCAAGTATAATGATATCTGACAGTGATTAAAATCACTATCAAAAAAAAACGCTTCGATGCAAATCTTTAGATAGTGTTTAATTTTAAAAAATTGGTGGATTATTCCAAAAGCTTCATAAACTGCTAGTTCCTTATTAATATCCTGATTAAGACAAAGTATGTCGAATAAAAAAGAGATTATTAGAAAATAGTATTTCCCATAAAAAAATTATATTGATCAATACACTTTTCAATAAGTTATAGCATTATAATGTTAAAAATGTAAAAAATAAAATTGAGAATTTTCACACAATAATAGCATTTGGTAGCCATTTTCACCTTGAAGATAAAATAAAGTCCGAAATTTTTTTTTTCCATGATAAAGTATATTACATTAGCTTTAATTTAAAATATATATAAAAGTGGCAGACCTTCCGGAACACTTTCAAAAGTTAAGTTGAAAAAGTTCTACTTTCTATATGCATTTTTATGTTTTGAATCCCCCCTGTATTTAGGGAAATGGTCCGATTTAAAAAAACAGTATGTCGAATGAAAGATCTATATAAATACTACTTCTCATAAAAAAATTGTAATGATTCATACATTTTTCAAAAAGTTATAGCATAATAAAGTTAAAAATGGAAAATACAAAATCGAAAATTTTCACACAAAAATAGCATTCGGTAGCCATTTTCACCATGAAGATAAGATAAAGTCCGAAATTTTTTTTTTTCATAATAAAGCATATTTCATTAGCTTTAATTTAAGATATATATAAAAGTGTCAGACCTTCCGGAACATTTTCCGGATTTAAGTTAAAAAAATTAATTTTTTGTGAAAAAGTTGTCATTTTAAATCCCCCCTTGTGGGCAGGTTAAGGGTTAAATTTATGAAAAAAATATACCAAATGAAAGGTAATGATATTATGCATCTATATAAAAAAGAATTATATTGATATGTTTATTTTTGAAAAAGTTATGGCACTTTTAAGTAAAAAAAATTGAAAAAATTTCGAAAATTAGCGATTTTTAAATTTGTAATTTTTTTGGAGGTTTCCCCCTTTTACGGGGAACGAGGGAATTTTTTTCAATTTTTAAGGGTAATGTCTTCGACTAGATACGATTTGTGATCTTTTGACGTATCATTGAAAGAAATCGGTTCGGTGAGAGCTGAGAAAAAGTGGTAACAGACACAAAAAAAAAAAAAAAAAAAAACACATCTTAGTAAAACCAATACCTTCTCAGCTTCGCATCGAAGCTAAAAATAAACCACAATTTCTCAAAAATAATATGCTTCAATAACTAAGACGATTACAAAAAAAATTTAGTAAAAGTTATTAGATTATTTATTCAAAATTATTAAGATAATGTTTGACGTATCGTTGAAAAAAATTTGTTCAGTGAGACCTGAGAAGAATTGTCGACAGGCCAGTTAAATTTCACATGATTAAAACAATTACCCACTGATCGAAATGTGTAGTAATTAAATAAAAAAATTCATAACTACATTATTAATAAACATAGGTACGTCTCTGTAGCAATAACCGCATTACTAAACATTTAAAGATGTTTTATATTTCTCAAAATATACTTAATAATGAGTTTTCTAATTATTAGTAATGTCATGGAATTTTTTTTTTTAAAGTTTTCAACTCTTATATATCTTGTTATTTCAAAACTACGAAAAAATATTCGTGAATAAATAAAAAACACAACTTAGTGGAGATACGATATAGTTTACGGGTCAAGTAAATATAATGTATGATTTTGATTAATATCAATATGATAAAAAAATCATTTGATTAGAATGTCATAAATTTTTTGTTGAAATAGTGCATTTTGAAGATTAAAAAAAAGATAGAAAATAAATTGACGTAATATTTTTCTTTTTTTTAACATAATTTACAATTCAAAAGTTTGAATTTTATATAAATTAGAGGGACGCAATAAGACTATTGCGTCCCTGTATCAAGACTGTTTTTTTGCAAATATTGAAAATAAAGTAATTTTTTTTTTTTTTTGTGAAAATTGCGAATTTTCTATTTTGACAGCCAATTTTTCATAATAGAATATAATTATAGGACCAAAAATCTATTTGACATTTTAAACTTTGAGAGTTTTTATTTAATATATATTAAAATAGAGGACATGTTCAGGGACATTCGCAAAAAATGAGTGGGAAAACAGTTTTTTTAATGCGTGATCGAATTTTTCTTTTAATTTTGAAGAGGTATTGTAAACAAGTTTGTTGTCTCATAACAAATATGCTCTTCGATATTCGTTTTTCATCTAGGCCTTATTTCAGCCTAGTTATATCAGGCAGCCGCCTTGGACATAAATTTTAGAGGGCAACCTTGACACATTAGATAGTAATTTATTTTTCCTAATGAAAATTTATTAAAATAATACCAATAAGGATTATCAACGTTCACTATCATGATAGGGTTACGAGATCCGTACCTTCTCCCTGTTGACATAAAATTATAGTAATTAAAGAAGTAAAAGAAATCCATTTGGTAGAAAAATTAAACTTTTTATATAACAAAAAATTTGGTTAATAGATCCTAAATAACTATTTTTATTCATGATAATTTTATTTAATATTGTAAATCAGAGATACGAAATTATTTAAATTATTATACATATTAAAATATGAGACACCATTTTGATGTTTATAGAACAAATATAAGGAAAAATAAATACAAAACGTAGTTTTGATATTTACTTATTATAAATTTGATTTATTGATAATTAACATACTGTTAATAAAAAACAACATAGTTTATACTAGTTATTTTAAATAACAATATGTAATGAACATAAATAAAAAGTTATCTAAACATAAAAAATTAAAACTTGACGATATTCAAAAATACATATTAAAATTTAATACAAAATTTTGATGTTCGTAAAATAAGTATGAGGAAAAATAAATACAAAATATATTTTGGAGTAGCTATTTTTGATAATGTATTATTATAAATTTGATTTAATGATAATTGCCTTACTGTTAATAAAAATCAACACAGTAACTACTAGTTTTTTTAAATAACAAATAAAATATTTAGGTATTTAATAGACTTAATTTATCATTTTTCTTATAGTAGAAAAAATCTTGTTTTCTGGTAAGTACATATTTCATTAAGTATTAATATAATAAAAAAATTAAATACTGGAGAAAAAATTTGGAAATTTGCATGAAATGTTTTTTTCATTTTATAAAATATTTGATGATAATTATAGTTATATTATGTTTTGTATATTTTTTTTTTTAGAAAACAATAAGAAGAAAAATGTCAACTAGTTTTTTGGTTCTCTTATTTTTTTGTGTTGTCTTTGAAATTTCCAGCACTTCCACTTCTAACGATGGTAAAATAAATTTTAAAAATTTCATTTTGAGGTGATGGTTGTAAATTTTAGATTTTAATTAAATTTTCAATCATTTTATAAAATAAAATAAATAAATTATACTAAGCTGTTATAATTTAAGATGTATATAGTTCTGAAATTATCATATTTATTTTATTTTAAAAGTTTACGCCTATTTTTATGTTAATAGATTAAAACATTTTAAAATAAATGTACCAACTTATGAGTGTTTGTAATAATATTTGTTTTATTCACTGATCATTTAAAATTTTAAAGAGTGTATGAGTTTATGATATTCATTGTCTGTAGAAGAAATTTTCAAATCTTAAAACTATGATTTTTTTATTACTGATTGTTTTAGGGCAAACATATCAACAATTTCAATAAAATTATTTGAAATTTAAGTTTTCTAGTGCTCCCATTACATATTAATCCAATAATGTTAAAAAATAAAATTATTAATAACTTATATGTAGAATTTTCATAAGAATGGATAATGGCGATTGGTCTACCTTTCATTAAAAAATCTTTTTTGACGTTTTTGTACAATATTCATAAAATACTAAAATTTTGGTAAAAACTTAAGTGTAAATGCTATTTTAGTTTAGAAGATATTGAATATAACTTATATGAAAAAATTAATACTGCAAATTATGGATCGAATGGTTTAAATAAAATGTCGACTGATATGTAACTTTATACGTATAACACCAAATAATTATTAAAAAAAAAATTTAATTTGGACAAATAATTGTTGAATCTACTAGATTTGGTTGGTACAATTAAATATCTAATTAGGATAATTAAATATATAAAGTTAACTAATTTACAAAATTAATAACGTTAAACGCTATGAAAACCAATAAACTTAATAAGTATTCTAAAAATGATAAAATATGACACCATAAAAAAATGTCCTTAAAAATATGTATAGAAAGAAAGTTTTTAATTTTTACTATCAGGAAAACTTCTGAAGATGAATTTGATATTGTTTTATAAGCATGCGTGAGTAACTTGTTTGCTTCGTGAATTTTTATTGACTGATAAGGACAATATCAGTTAGCTATTTCAATTAATATTATATATTTTTTAATTGAAAGTAATACTTTTGTGTATTTTTTAAAACAAATTTTATTATAAAGTTGTTATTTTAAAATAATTCTCAGGTAAAGAAGAAGTATGTAGTACGGAAAGTAAGAAATTATTAAACTAAAATATTTATATTATTCTATCATCTTAGAAAAAGAAATAACACATCCCCAGTACACACAAAAAAAAGTTGAAGTTTTTTTTAACTACAATAAATGATGTTTGATAGTACCCGATCGAGTTGAGTATTTATGAATTTATGTCAACTACATCGGACCGTTGAATTGGATGTGTAAAAATAATGAAGTTGATATTATAGGTCCCAAAATAATCTTTCAGTACCTTACATAAACGTTAACTTAATTAACTATTTATAAATGATGGGTCGGATGTTTTTACTTTACACGTAAATAATAAAATAAAAAGACAATTTATTAGATTTTTACAAAGGACATGATTCCATTATACATATACAAAGAAAACAATTAAAAATAGTTGTTCGTCTACAGGCTCCTAAATATTGGTTGGCCTGATTGACTTAGGAAGTGAATAAAAGGAAATCTTATTACTTATTAATTAAAGAAACTCAAAAGGAGATTGTTTATAATAACAATATTAATGTAATTAATAATAAAATTTATAGTTGGGTGTCCCCACTTACATTACTAATAGCAACTAAATATTACAATGCAACAAAATGAATACAAGTATAAGATTTTTAAGTATCGTTGAATTTGATAATCCGACCTGGGCATAACATCAATGATCCGATTATAACTGGTATATTCAACCAACTTAAACCGTTTGAATGAAAGAAACACGAACTCGATTATATAATCGATCACACTCACGGAAAACCCACCGAATTCACATATACGTTAGGATACCGCAAAGTCGCGGAAAACTCGTGGCGGCGACGATGGGTCTAATCAATTAGACCGTACAATGGTTGACTGACCAGATAAGGCAAAGACTTACCGGACAGCGAACGGCATCCCCACTACTATATGTAACCAGTTTCATTTGGGTTGTAAGTTGAACGCGGCCACATATAACTCGCCGCAACAACAGTAAAACATTAACACAAAGCAATAACATTATCCAGTCATACAATGCCCCACAACAAATCCTCCTCGGCAGACGTTGTCTGTTTTACACTTACGTAAATTCCGATAATAGTCCCGCGTGTCACCATTACTCCTTAGGTGTGTATACACTTGGAATACTATCCCCAAGTGTGAAATGAGTATATCAATGCAATAACGGTTGGTTTTTCGCCTAAAAAGGTCGATACAAAACCACCAAGAATTACGCCAGCTCACTGGTAACGAGTCATCAGACCCAACGAAACATCTTAACTACCGTATACGAACATACTGTATAGCTGCCAATAGTGCTGGACACAACTAACCTGAGTGTCGTAGGTCGAGCGGATAGGGAGGTGGGTGATGACAAGCATCGTGTTGCATTGGCCGGGCTACACACGTAACTTTTGCACAGAATACATTATATTGATACATTTAAATATAAGAAATATAAAAAGGTATAATAAAAATATCATGTCTTTTGGTTAAAATTCTTACGGATTTATAATATTTTAAATCCAAGTTCAACTATAACCAATAATCTTAACGTCTCTAGTTTCATTAACGCTAAAAAATTGGTGTTATTTTAACCCCTTGAATATAATGCAAAACAACACTATAATAGTCCTAGGTGAAATTTTACGTGCAATTGTGTATGACTACAATACCACTTGGGGCTAAAGTAACTATCCTTGCGTGAGTATAAAAAAATTCAAATAATAGGAAAACTCAGCAGAGTGGGGAAGCCATATAAAACAAGTATAAATGATATCTGACAGTGATTAACATAACTTTTATAGATTAATTTCAGAATAATAATTTGTATATTTGTAACTTTATAATTTTAAAACTTTGTCTTAAAATTAATATAAAACTTCTTTACTTAAAAAAACACGCATCTAAGACATTTAATGAGTACGCGTTAGTGATTACATACGAGTGCAATAGTGCTAAATTCGTAATATAATTAAAACTTTAATATAGTCAATTATAATCAAACTAATTACGTAAGAGCCTGATTCTAATTAGCCTTATAGATACTACAACGAATGTGATACATAATATTAATAACTTATGTGATCATTTTATCAAAAAAATTATTAGAATAATAATTCTTAATTTTTGATCTAGTAGCTCATTTTTGAAAATTTTTAAGGCCTAAATATGATCATCCGCTTTCAGTGTAGTCATGTATTGATCTAATAAAAAATTTGCTGAAAAGATAAACATAATATACTCTTTTTCTTTACCTCATCAAAAATATAAGGAAGGATGTCGTTAGATTGTTAGATTAATCAAACATGAACGAACACGTACACATTTGTTTAATGTTTGATAACTAAAATTAGATCAGTCATCCATTTGTATTGTTTTTTACTAAGTCTAATTCTATGAATCAATACAATATCGTTATATATCATACTTTTCAATGAGTTTTTTTACGTCCGTTACAGATAACATAATAGCCTTAAAATACCTATTTATTTTAATTGTAACTTAGAATTAATACGAATTATTTTTCGAATTAATATTATTAATATTGTCATTAGTTAACGTGACAAATCAAGTTAAAAAATGGTATCATTACATCAACTTGTGTAATCATCGCCTGGTTGGGTTGGGTTTTACGATATTTGTCGCCACAAAACTTATTTAAAATAATCTTAAAACTCACTTATACCACAAATTATAATTTTTAAATTCAGTAAATAAAATTATTGAAGCCGAAACCATAAAACTTATTTTTAGTAGATTTGGATTGGTTCTAGCTGCTGGTTTGTGCCACCAATCATATTATTGTAACTCACTATGGTTGTGTTACTTAAGCATGCATAAGTAACTTGTTAGTCTAGTGTACCTTTATTAACTGATAAAGGCACACTATTAGTTTGCTGGTTCAACTAATATTATATATTTATTAATTAAAAATAGTATTTTTATGTATTATTATATACTTTTTAAAACAAATGTTATTTTATAATATTTCCCAGACGAAAAAAATTCAATGTTTTTGACAAGTAAGAAATTATTAAATACATTTTTTTAAATTTAATAAAACTACTATGAGAATTTTATTTAATATTTTATAATTTATAATAGAGGTTCCGATACACGTTTATTTAATAAATAAAATAAAATTTTTTTTTTCATTAATTTTTTGTAACTTTGAGTTTGATTTCATATACATTTTATTGTCATATTTGAGTTATGTATACATAGAAATATTAATAACAAAACATTGATAATTCTCATGCATTTATTAAATGAAAATCGTATTGACTAATTTATAATCGATTATTTTAAATTGTTAATATATTAATGTTTCAACATCAATTTTTAATTTTGAAAAATACATTTAAATTACTTTTATAAATTTGTGTGATACTGTTAAAACTCACTAACGGTCATGCATCCTATAAATAATAGCAAACAGTCCATTGCACTACATGAAGTTCCTTAAAATTAAGACGAAAAAATTACAATACCTTACAGTTAATACTGATTGATGTGCAAAATATCATACACTTAGGGTATTAAAATTTTTGGGAGCTAAATGTAGTTTTCCATTTCCTTATTTTTTTTATACAATATACATACTTTGCAATTAGATTTTTATTTTATTAAAAAAAAATTTTTATACATAGATATTTATCTATGAAAAGGTATTTAACAAAAATGTACAAAAAATGTACGTTATATAATCGTTAAATATACAAAAGATAAATTCAGTTAAAATAAAGTCAATTTTTCTCCGCTAAATTAAAAATATAACTAAACTACATTAAGTTTATCAATTAATTTACATATCCTCTTGATAGAAGAGTATATTATTTAAAAATTATGAATTAAACTCATATTAAAAACGAAAATATCCTATAAACCATTGTATTAATTTATTTTTAAGTATTTGCATTTAAAGTTCCTTTTTTATGGTCAGGATATTGTTTTCGGTATTCATATATGCCTTGTAATAAATATTGTTTCTGTAGTTCATTATGGGTAATTTTGTTGTTGAAATCTTCCATAAGTTTTACGGCTCTTTCAGCTGTATCGTTTGTTACTGAAATATTCATTACTATTTTGAAGGCACTTTGATAATCTTCATTATTTTTCCAATTAATAGGATCTTCTTTTAGAAATGTTGTGTTTAAATTAAATCTTTTAAACAGTTGATATGAATCAATTCTAATGAAATGTTCAATTTCTTTATCTATTGACACATTAGCTCCTTTTGAATTAATAATTAAACGTTAATAAGATGGAATATGAAATGTAGGTCCACTGATTTTTAGAGTTTCAACCATTTTTCTTTTAGTTTCTATTGATATAGTATCAAAAAAAAAAAAAAAAAAAATGCACTACTCTCAGGTATTAAGTACCATAAAGTATTACACATTTTTTAAATTGTGACTTGAAATATACCTTTGTCTATTGAGATTTATTTCAAAAGATTTTTAGTAAAATTTAAATCTTGCAATGGTGCTTTTATGGCTGAATTCGCATCAAACCATACTTTAATGTAAAAGGAAACTATAAAAATACAAACTTTTTAATGCTGCTACTTTTATTTCAGTTAAACCAAACGCTTTACGAAAAATAAATATTTTTAAACTATAAATGACTTTAGCCATCAATCGAGCATGATGAATTATACCGGGAAGTTTAAAGTAATAAATACCAGTTAGTTCACCACCTAAAAATATTATAGCCAGTTCTAGAAACTCCTTATGATCATCACTTGGGTGTTTTATCATAAGACGGCTTTTACAAAAATTAAGTATATCGTCACCAATGTCCTTTAGTAATTCAATGACACCTTTATCTAGTATACCCGATTTATAATTATTTGTATTGATACTAGTCCATGCTTTTTGAAATCTTTTAAAAATTAACACTTCAGGACTTGACGTATCATCAAACTTAATATCAAAAACACTTTTTAATAAGATTTCATAAATATGATGATGGCATGGTAAATATAATATTTCGCGTTCCAATAATTGTTCTAACAATATAGATGCCCCGTTAAAACGACCCATGTTTGAAGCGGTAGTATCGCAACAATATGCTTGAACATTATCAGTCAAGGACCATTTAACAAGACTATGGTATACTGCGATAGCTTGATCATTTCCAGTACCAGTATTCATGAAACGGACACCTAAAAGTTGCTCTTTACCATCGAACGAAATTATAACAGGGAGCCTATCCACTGTTGATTTTCCAGTTAGCGAAGGCAGAATTTTCCCGTTCCAATGTACTACAAGAGCTTCTTTTACTCCTATCTTATAATTACTACAAATTTTTTCAGCACGTTCTTTATGTAATTTCATACGAGAACGTGTAATTGATGACCTACTTATCATTAATTTATTTACATTCTCACTAAGTGCTTCAGCTGTTGCTATTAAAATGTGTGCCGCATCTCGATCACTAACTTTACATTTATTAAGTGCGATGACCAATTTTTCAGTAATAAAATTTGTTGATCCTCTGTTACTTCGAAAGTGTTTTTTAGATGGTCCAGGTTCATCATCAAATACTGTGATGGTTTCGTCTTCAATACTACTAGGTGATTACAGTTGTACAGTTTCGGCTAAAATAAAAAATACTCATAAGTATGTAGTACTTTTCTAACGATTACTTAGTCCACGTAATTTTAACTTACTGACAGATTCTAATTCTTTATGGACATGATTTTTCCTAACATCAGCCATTTTCCTTCTATATTTTTTTCAGTATTTGCTAATTTATTGTCAACGCCAATCATTGAACCGATTTGTCCTTTCTCTCGCTGAGAAATTAAAAATGATTTGTCTTCCTCAATTTTAATTAAATCTAAAGCATTTGCATGTGCAATATCAAATAGATTTTCGAGGCTACTAATAAAATTTGATTTTTTTAGCTTGTGTATCAGTTTTTCTATGTTCTAATTTTTGCAAGTTTCTCCAATCATAGTATAATTTTTCTAATTTTAAAATACAATTTTGTTCGATCTATGTAGGTATACGAGCTTTCTTCCAAAATATAATTGCTTCTTGTATAACTAAAGTAGCACTTTGACGTAAATTTAATTTTACTTCCCGTAAAAATAAAATAAAATAAAACAGATAATAGTTGCCTATTAGATGGCAATATACTACCTATTATTTGATTAGAACTAAATCCAATTAAATAGATATATTAAGACTCACGTAAGCTGGATCTTGAAACCATTACGAAAAAAAATATTGCGGTGTCGGTAACTTTTAAAGAAGTAAAAAATATATAAAACGTACTGTTAAAATTTAACAATATACGTTCAATTATGTAACTCACAGTTATTGTTAAATAACATAGGTTAATAGATAATCACAAAAAAAAATATTATTTCTGATAAATCCAACAGTTTAATACATATAATGGTGTACTATACGTGATTTGTACATTGATATTTCTATTGATAAGTAATAACGATATTCACTCCAAAATTAGATACCAGAACGCATTATCATATATCACTTCCATTAAAAAAACAAACGAGTTACCAAACCATCTTTAAATTTTTAAAAATTGAACATTTTTAATTTTAATACGAAATAAGGGAAAATTACTTATAAAAATACGATTTTATTTTGCCGTTTATCATAAGACCCAATAATGCATCAATATTATTTCTTATAAAACTCAGCTTGCTACAAAAAGTATTAAAGTTACAAAAAATGTAAAAAAACTTAAATTTAACAAATTTAATTTCAAGTTACTTTTGTATGAAATATTTTATTGTGTGACAATATGTGGGGGTGTATTGATCAATTTTTACAAATTTATTTTCTAGGACCACCCTACTACATAGTGTAGTAGGGTGACCATCTTTGATGTAGACATTAAAGATGGTCAGTTAATAATTTTTTATAATTTAAGTTAAAAGTTCAGGTAACGAAGTGACACTGATTTAGCGAATTAAGTAACTACCAATAGGTTTGCAAAAATACCATAGGGTTATATTGTTAGTTTTTTAAGGGCTCAATGTAATTCCCATTCCTAACATTTTTGTATAACGAACATATAATTTGCAAATGGTTTTTGTTTTAGTTTAAATAAAAACAAATGTTTTATAAAAATTAGAGTTGATTAAAAAGATTTATTTAGTTTTTAAATGCACAGAAAAGTAATTATTTTAAAATTAAATTAACATAAAATTACTTTATTAATGTAAAAAATAACTAAACTGAACTTTAACTTTAGGCTATTAACTCGTTCATGCCCACCCTTGAAATACATAGAAAATAATTAATATTAATTTTAATTTTATCTATAATTGTCTCTATATAATTTAGATTATCTATTGGAAAAACTAAACAATAAAGGTAAAATGTACTAATTAAAATATAAATCGTAACTATACTATTAATAAACGAAGCATCATCTCCGTGACAATAACCGTGTTACTAAACATTTTAAGATTTTATATTTTTCGAGAAATCCTTACAATATTAACACATATTTTAAGTGGTATTGGAAGAAAATTTTTTTTTCTTAGTATAATGGAGTATTTAAAAGTCTATTCATATTGTTAGGAAAATAAAAATGGCTTTCTTTTTCTACTTTTGAATAATTTTGAGAAATCAAAATTTGCTGTTTTGCCACTGAAATGATACTACATTGTAAAATAGTTAAATAATGAGTTATCTAATGATTAGTAAATTTATGAAATTTATTACTTTTAAAAAATTTTTCAACTTTATTTTACATCTCGTTATTTCAAAACTACGAAAAAATATTGACTGATGAATTAACAAAAAACACAACTTAGTGGATCTACGGTATAGTTTACGGGTCAAGTAAATATAATATATAATTTTGATTAATATTAATATGATAAAAAAATCCTTTGATTAGAGCCTCATAAATTTTTTGATGAAATAGTGTATTTTAAAGTGAAAAAAAGATAGAAAATAAATTTATGTAATATTTATCTTTTTTTCAACATAATTTATAATTCAAAATTTATAAAATTCATTTATTTTGATGAAAAAATTCATTATTTTACGAAAAGATGAGAATTAGTAAAATTTGTATAAATAAAAATCATATTTTAAATATATGTATTTTAGTAATTTATATTTATTAAAATTTATTATTTTTTTTTTACCAGAACGACAGGATGCGATTATAAATCTTAAAAACGATTATAAAAAATTAAATAGTAAGAAACAATAGATCATACCTACTTCATATTAAACTTAATTACATTATAGTATTTTAACTTGTTTTAGAGCTTATTTTATTACAAAGATTTAGATTCTACTTTTTATCTGTTTAAGACANTGCCTCGTCCACACTGTGCCTCGACCCCACTGTGCTACCGTTTTTTTTATATATAGTGTTAATCTATTAAAATCCATTTATGCATTACTATAATAATGTATAATTGAATATTTAAGGGATTTTTTTTTTGTGCCTGTTACCACTTTTTCTCAGCTCTCACCAAACCGATTTCTATCAACGATACGTCAAAAGATCACAAATTGTATCTAGTCAAAGACATTACTCTCAAATATTGAAAAAAAAAACCCTTAATCAAATAACAAGTATCTTAACCAGCTTTATCCATACAAACAATTAAAATCATTCATTTCTAATATTTTTAAAGTATAAGTATAAAGTATATGTTAAGTATATAATAACATTCCAAATTTTTTCGCAACATGTTGCTATATAAATCATAAATAAAAAAAATAAATGATTTTTAGTTTCACCTGAATATAACAATGGATGAAATAAAAAATTTACTGTAAATAGTAATTATAAAATTACCTGATTGCATATAAATCTTAACAATACCAATTTTTCTATTTAATGATGTTAATTTCAAACTTGCAAATTGAGCTAAAAGTTATGGTAATAAATTCATTTTTTTTTTTTTATTATAAACTTTCACTTTGAAGGATAATAAAAATTAGGTTAGTGTGCCGCGACTCCACTGCGTTGGGTTTTTTTAATTTTTGTTAGCTTCCTTTGAAGTGGACTAATTTTACTAGTACTAGATACGAATATTGTGAAGTATTTTACATGTCTACAAATCACATAATTTGTTTTTTCATGTTTAAAAACATCTAAGTTAGAATTATTATTTAGACGATCAGGATCTCTTTTCATTTTTGATATCATCTTGATTTACATAAAATCAAACATTTTTACCTGTAATTTTTTTAATTATATTTTTAAAAATTAAAAATGTTATAAATTTCAGATTTTTTATTTTGAAAAATTTCTGATTATACCGATAAATCAAAATAACTTTTTATAAATTTATACCAATCGAAAGGTATTGAAAAACAACATAAGTTTGTGGAATTTTCATCAAGTTTTATTTGGTAAAAGGAACTTTATAACATAGTAAACATTTTTTTTATTTTTTTTTTTTATGAGATAATCTTTCATGATTGAAAATAGGATACGAATCGTTCATTATGTTTTCGTTAAATACTTTGTATCTAAATAAAGTCTTATGTCACTGTTTTGTTTTTCTACTAATACAATTTTGTAAATCCAAGACAATGGGCTATCAAACTTAATTATTGCATTTTGTTTTACTAAATTATTAACTATATTTCTTAATTTTAATAATAAACTTTTTGTTACTTTACGAGCTGCCAAGAATACTAATTTATTTTTTTTACTGATCTTTTTTAGTTTTTTTTTTTATATAGATACGTGAGGTACTTTTATATATATTTTTTTATTAATCTGACCATTTACCTGCCCACAGGGGGGGAATTTAAAATGAAAATTTGAATGACTTTTAATTGCTGATTTAAAATTGAATCTTTTGAAATTTGAAATTTAAAAAACTTGAATAATAAAAGTATTTTTTTTACTCTGATGAAAATTTTTTGCAGATTATTTATTCATAATTAACAACAATTTATTATGTAAAAACTTCTATGTCAAGCCCTTTAATTTTTATTACATTTATCATGAAAGTAAAAATTACTTTATTATTTTTTATAAATTATCCGAAAAAATTACAATACTAAATTATTAAATATCATTTTAATACTACGTTGAATTGCTTAATAGATATTTATTCATAAATTATACTTATAAATCAACTACTAATTAAAAAAAACCCAGCACAGGGGGGTCGCGACACAGTGATGACGTAGTATNAAAACCCAGCACAGGGGGGTCGCGGCACAGTGGTGACGTGGCATAGATGGATCAAGTATAATGATATTGACAGTGATTAAAATCACTATAAAAAAAAAAACGCTTCGATGCAAATCTTTAGATAGTGTTTAATTTTAAAAAATTGGTGGATTATTCCAAAAGCTTCATAAACTGCTAGTTCCTTATTAATATCCTGATTAAGATAAAGTATGTCGAATGAAAAAGGGATTATTAAAAAATAGTATTTCCCATAAAAAAATTATATTGATCAATACACTTTTCAATAAGTTATAGCATTATAATGTTAAAAATGTAAAAAATAAAATTGAGAATTTTCACACAATAATAGCATTTGGTAGCCATTTTCACCTTGAAGATAAAATAAAGTCCGAAATTTTTTTTTTCCATGATAAAGTATATTACATTAGCTTTAATTTAAGATATATATAAAAGTGTCAGACTTTCCGGAACACTTTCAAAATTTAAGTTGAAAAAGTCAATTTTTTGTGAAAAAGTTGTCATTTTGAATCCCCCCCTGTAGGCAGGTAAAAAGTCAGATTTATAAAAAAAATATACCAAATGATAGGTAATTAAAAAATAGTATTTCCCATAAAAAAATTATATTGATCAATACTCTTTTCAATAAGTTATAGCATTATAAAGTTAAAAAAGTAAAAAATAAAATGAGAATTTTCACACAATAATAGCATTTGGTAGCCATTTTCACCGTGAAGACAAAATAAAGTCCGAAATTTTTTTTTTACATAATAAAGTATATTACATTAGCTTTAATTTAAGATATATATAAAAGTGTCAGACCTTCCGGAACACTTTCAAAAGTTACGTTGAAAAAGTTCTACTTTCTATATGCATTTTTATGTTTTGAATCCCCCCTATATTAAGGGAAATGGTGCGATTTAAAAAAAAAGTATGTCAAATGAAATATCTATATAAAGNAAAAACAGTATGTCGAATGAAAGATCTATATAAATACTACTTCTCATAAAAAAATTGTAATGATTCATACATTTTTCAAAAAGTTATAGCATAATAAAGTTAAAAATGGAAAATACAAAATCGAAAATTTTCACACAAAAATAGTATTCGGTAGCCTATTTCACCCTGAAGATAAGATAAAGTCCGAAATTTTTTTTTTCCATGATAAAGCATATTACATTAGCTTTAATTTAAGATATATATAAAAGTGTCAGACCTTCCGGAACACTTTCAAAAGTTACGTTGAAAAAGTTCTACTTTCTATATGCATTTTTATGTTTTGAATCCCCCCTGTATTTAGGGAAATGGTCCGATTTAAAAAAACAGTATGTCGAATGAAAGATCTATATAAATACTACTTCTCATAAAAAAATTGTAATGATTCATACATTTTTCAAAAAGTTATAGCATAATAAAGTTAAAAATGGAAAATACAAAATCGAAAATTTTCACACAAAAATAGCATTCGGTGGCCATTTTTACCATGAAGATAAGATAAAGTCCGAAATTT